GGGGGGCACAAAGCAAGAAGGTTGCTGCCTCTGTATCCGTTTTTTCCACCAGCCACCCTCCACAACAGACTGGGGTTGCCCCAGTGAAATAGAGTTACTTTCTGCTGCGGAGGTATTTGCTCTGGAAACATGACTGACAGCAGGCTATGGTCAGCGCTTTTCAGTGTTAGACTTGACCTAGAGTGGAAGACGCGTGTGAGTGAAGCTGTTATTCCATGCCATAGCCTGAGGAGGCTTGGTTAACTCGAATGTAGCAGTCTTTTTTTTAGCGAAAGTGCCAGGCCGAGCTCTGTTGTTCGCTGCTCCTCGCCTGAGGGTGCCCATGGCACAGTGTCGACCAGCGAATATGGAGCAAAGACCCTGTTGTATACAGGGGTAGTTTCAGTATGCTGGTGGCAGATATGACATCATTATGTACCAGGCATGGGCCAGACCTGCAGAGAGGTTTGGACCAGTCTGACCTGTACAGGCATGGGCCAGACCTGCAGAGAGGCTTGGACCAGTCTGACCTGTAAATGAACTCTGGCGAGGCATGGACCATACCTGGAGGTGAAAGGACACGCCAGAAGTTGCGGGTTCGAATCCCATTTTTTTCCCTCAAGGTATGGCTGAGTGGCACATGGAGAGGCACAGACCACCCTCGTTGCAGTAGGCATGGAGAGGGGCACGGAATGAGCCGGCAAGGCATGTAGCAGACCTGGAGCAGATTCAGGGCCGCCGGATCTGAACCAGACGTGCAGCAGCCACATGGACCAGAGGTGGCAACCTACTGTAGGAGGTGGCCGTTCGCCCAGGAAGTAGACCAGCAGGGTTGGAACGTGAGGTATGCTGCCGTATGCATGCATTAGCTCAGTCCCTCTGCGCTGTACTTGGCAGTGTAACATCTCTATTTGAGCTATAGGTTGAGCGATTCCGACTAGGCCCTAGGGTGAAATTTGCTAGAGATCTCTAGCAGATGTGATTTCACATTGGAGGTGTGGCAGGAGTATTCAATGGAATATGCTAGCAGGAACCTAGTCTTCTGAAGATAGACCAGATTCGGACTAAACGAGCACAAGTAGTTAACTCGGACGTGCTCCTTGGTGAACATGAGGCTCTCTCCTTGCCTGCAAGTGGCTACTCCTGGAGAAATACGGGGAGGGCAGGGGACGACAATAGGTCTCTTGTGAGGAGGGGGTGCGCTTACCACCTCTCCTAGCAAGGACACCGGGTTATTAAAAAAAAAAGGTTAGCTCTGCATGCGTGGTTGGGCAAGGGTAGCGGGGGCGGGCACGAGGAGGTAAGGGGGGGAAGGGGGGGCCCAAAGGTGGGGGAAAAGGTGAGGGCAAAGGTAGGGGGAAAGGTGCGGGGGGGCTAAAAGTGGGGAGGCTAAAGGTGGGGAGGGTGTGAAGGCAGGTGGTTTGTTTTTCAAGCTCCAGTTTGCATCTTCGAAAGAAAGTTTAAGAAACTCGATCGTGGAATGTTTTTCGAAATTCAAATTGATGCCATATATTTAAGTCCTGAATCCTGATCAAGACTGATCGCTGGTTGGCGATTGGAATCGCATTCCATGCTGTGCATTTTCATTTCTTTTTGGGTTTTCTTGATGATCGAAAGGAGTAGTTGCTCGCATTTGGAATCGCATTGCATGCTGTGCATTTTCATTTCTTTTTGGGTTTTCTTGATGATCGAAAGGAGTAGTTTCTCCGTAGTCCCTGTATTTATGCAGTCCAGTCATATACCCCTCACGCACTCAGATATATCCCCCTGATGGCAGTTATGTCTACCGCCTTCACGGCAATAGAACGTACACGTCGTACAGTCCATGTCGCCTTGTCTCTAAGGCTGAAAATTGCCTGAAAAATACAGCTGTAATGACCATACGACGTACGTTCTATTCTGGCAATTTTCAGCCTTAGAGACAAGGCGTACTGTCCACGGAAGAAGGCCGTATAATATCTTTCTAAGCTCTCCATTTCGTAATCATCTGTTCGCAGGTTCAGTTCTATGGTTTTTTTTTTTTTTTCAAATCTTCGTTTGTGGATCTCAATTCCCACTCCTCAGTTCTCAGTTCTCTGTTCTCTTTTTTTTTTTTTTTTTTTGGTGCCAACAGTGAGGATCGAACGCACAATTTTTTATTTATTTATTTTTTTAACAGAAGTTACAGAACTCACGATTTTCAGCTTACGAATTACTGATCTATGTTCTCTGTTCTCTTTTCTATTTTCTATTTTCTATTTTCTATTTTCTATTTTAGTATTTTCTCTGTTCTCTGTTCTCTGTTCTCTGTTCTCTGTTGTCAATGTACAGTACTGTGCCTTTGCCCAGTAGTTCTTTGCCCTCGGCTCTTTTTTTGCTTTTCGTTTACCCTCAGCTCTGTTTTTCTTTGTTTTCTGTTTTCAAAATGAAAGAGCTCCTTAGCTCTGTACCCTCTTCCCAGGAAAAAAAAAAGGAAGGAAAAGTGGAAAAACCACTGGGGCATAGTGGTCCTGGCGCCTTTCTCCTCTTTTCTTCGACTTTCTCCTCACTTTCCACTTGCAACGGGATAAGCTCGGACGTGAGCGAGTCCTTTTTCTTGTCTTTTTTTATCAGCTCAATTCAGCTGTCAAAATGACGGATCGGTTGTCCTGCTGCTGCTGGAATTTCAATCATGAAGGAACTAAACTTCCGCTTACATGTACATACAAGCGTTGCCCGCAGCGGGCACGCCTCCTCCTCCTCCTCCGTGCTCTACCACCTCCTCCTCCTCGCAAACAGGCCTTCCCTCCAAAGAAACAAAGCTGAGTACCTCCTAATTTGAGACAGTGGGTCTTTCGCCAGTTATTTGTGCCGCGGGCGGATGATCTGGTCAGGGTGGCACTACACAGGGTGGGTCGTACCATGTGGACTGGGTGGCAGTACCCGCGCTGGGTGGTATTATGTGGCGTGCGTGGTAGTACATGAGGGCTCGGTGGGGACCACGTGGGGCAGGTCATACATACTATGTGGACTGGGTGGCACTATGTGGGCTGGTGGTGCTTTGCGGGCTGGGTGGTACTGTGTGGACTCGGTGATACTATTGCAATGAGCCTGACTGCAGTCAATCACCCATCCAACTTGCACAACAGAAAACTCACAGAAATTCCACACCAAGCACCGAAAACCACGATTCAATAGCAAGAAGATGAAAGCGTCCTCCAAACACTTTATTATTGTACGAAATTGTTTTCAGATACAAGCTGTTAATGGCCGCCACCGCCAACAACTCAGATCAGGTAACCTCTCTCTCTCTCTCTCTCTCTCTCTCTCTCTCTCTCTCTCTCTCTCTCTCTCT